GCTTATAGCTACGTCGCCTTCAGGATTCTGCCCGTGAGCCGACATGGATTTATGCTAAGCATTTGCTGTCTTTTGCTTGGCCGTCTCCATGAAAGTTCCCCATCATACGTCAGTTCGCTCACGCATCAGCGTAGTCATGTCGTAACGATGTCAGCAGCTCGACAGGTGTGCGACCAGGTGTGCTAAGTTTTTGGTTGATACAAGGGCAAGGTTCCTTATAGCCTTGTATGGAAGCAGTCTTCTAGGGATGTGTCACTACCACTCAGTGGCAAGACGATATCCTCATGGTTGTGGTTCATAGTTGGCCCATAGCAGCGTAGAAGCTCTGCGCCTCCTTCTTGAGCCGCATCATGACCGCCTTTGACAGGACGTTTCCACCTGACAAAGCTTTTCTATGGTGCCTTCTTCAGGCCAATCTACAGCACATGCGGAGAAGCAGATACTGGGTGCTTCTTGCAAGAGTGTTGTGCACGCGGCGCCTTTGGTTTTATTTGGACTGTCTTTTTACAGTCTACAACACCAGTTTGTGGACCCAAAGGCTGGAATTCAGCGGCATGATGTCAGACCCATTTACATGTCTGCTCCTCCATCCTCTCCCTCCCTCCCTCCCTCTCTCTCTCTCTCTCTCTCTCTCTCTCAGTGTCTGTGAGCCAGATGGTGAAGTTGGCACTGCCAGGTCTTACATCATGCAAAGCGTAACCGTCGACGTGCTTAGATTTGCCTTCATCCTGTGCAAGGAGCATTGCAAGGGTAGGCCGTCTTGCATAAAACAGGTAGCTGCTTTGAACGTTGGAGTTGGTTGCTTTCAATTTGGAAGCTCACGCAGAAGTCCTAAACCGTCAGGCCAGGAGTCAGGTGAAGTCCCGAGTTACGAAACACAGCAGTAACCCTTGCGGTACCCACTTTTCAGAATGCGAGGAGGAGATGGAACCAGGAAGTTGTGGCTGTGTTTGCATCCTGTCAATTCACAATGCTATCACTCGACCGATCACAAGTAGACTGATGATCCATTTTCTCCCGCAATCACCTTGAAGCCGAAGTTCTGAAACCCAAGCGGGTACCGACTTAGAACATCCCCAAATCTTCTGTCGTCTCTACATATTCCCAGTATCTTCTTGCTATCCTCTGCACCCCCTCAAAATATGAACAATGACGACAACTCCAAAGTATTTTGGGGTTCAACATGCAGCCTCAGGATGCTTGGCGGCCTGATGTTTTCGAGGCCACGCCATGATCTAGAGTTTATTGTTTTCAGCTGGGGCTGGCTGCAGCCCATAAAATCCCCAGAACCCTGGGAGGATTTAAGAAGTAAAAAACCCTGTTTGAGAGCCAGTTCCAGTGGAATCCTTGAAGGGATTAGGGTTCTCGGATTCCAAGACTTAGGCTTGGTAGGCTGCTTGCGACTTGTTATCCACCAATCTTCTTCATACCCGCCAAACAGCCTTTGCAGATGGTCTTTCATCAGAACTCCTGTTGAGCTGGGTTGGTCAAAGAGCGCAGGTCTTGGGCTGAGTGTCTGGCGCATGGATGCCTCTGAGTTACCGCACGATATGTTAGAGGTAGCTTCCTATGGCAAAAGACCTTGGACATGCCCAATACCTACTGCAATTTCTGCAAGCTAGTCCTTGCCCTGGAAATTGCCTCGCCTGTTGGGTGGCGGCGTCCCTGGGTGCAGCACACCATTCTATTCCCATCATGTCGCACTTATGTTTCAAGAAAGCGGTTACAAGACCGGGGCTCTTGGATACGAATGACTCCTTTTCACTTCTGGCATCAGGCAGTCACGCTAAGTATGTGAATTACCTGGTAGCGCCCGTGCACAGGTACCTAATGGGAAGGACTCGCAACTTGCAACTCAGCCTGAAAACGCTGGTGGTACTCACAAGGGATACAGGAACTGAAGTATTCTTCGACCCTGGAACCAGTCCCGGACGAAACGGACGCAGCAAAAAAAGTCCGTGAGCCCTACCCCCTCAAGCTAAACCTGAACCGGACAGACATGGACAGACCACGTCCCGACCCTGCAAGTACAGTCTTGGTGAGTACAGACTTATCCTTACTTGTGGAGGCTTATCGCCGCCTCCTAATTGGAGATGCGTGGGGTGAGCTTGAGGCTGGCGAGTGCGGGATCCCAGCGCATGACTTGTGTTCCTAAGGGTTCGGGAGATGGGGGGTGTTAGCTGCAGAGCCTGGGATCGCACAGGTTCAGGTTTCAGGATGCCTGGTACATGAGGCCCCTAGTTTCCAGATCTGAGCTTTGGCTCAGCAATTCCAAAGATCTAGTCATCCTTGTCAGCCTCTGACAGGACACGAAATAACATAGTCAAGGACATGCCTCCTCAGGGGTAGCCTTCCTGACGTTAGCTTGATGAGTGTTTGCTTACTGTCAGCTTGGTCTTCTGCTTTTTTTACTGTTCATTGTTCATTCTTGGGTCTTGTATCTGCAAACCCTATACACACCCGGTGAACCTTCTATGAGGCTTGTCAAAGCCCCATAGTGGCCCAAGAATAACGAATAACAAATCCGCAAAGCATTGCACAGCTCAGGTTTTACATCTGCTCTTGGTCCCGGCTCACGAAGAACCAGACCTTTCTAGACATCTTTTTTCAGGTCTTGCGCCGCTAGGCCAGGACATTTGGGTTTTGATCTGTTTTGGTTAATTGTGTAATTCGTCCAGACATAGTCCTGGCAGAAGCAGGGCCAGTGCAGCATTGGAACGAACAAGATGTACGTAGCCTGTGACTCTCTATTCTGGTTATATTCGGAGGTTATATCAGAATTCAGAGCATGTGTGGCTTTTGGTGGGAGAGTTCAGCAGTTTAGGACCTGAACATTTCAGACGTTCAGAAGTTGCCTATGTGAGAGTTTAACAGACTAGCATTTGGGTGTCTTGGAGTCTGTGAGGGGTGCTTCAGCCCATACAAAATCCTGAATCTTGATGACTTGACGTCCACTGCACCTCCGCAAGCTTTGCACCCGTGATTTTGCTAAGTGCACATCTCTCTGGACCTCGTCCCCTTGATCTTCCTCATCATCGCCCAGAGACTCCGGCAGACTTAGAAATACTTTTCACGACCTTCGGCGTATACTTCTTAAGGGAGTGTTTTGGTTTCAGCTCCATAAAGCTATGGGATATAAGATCAATCATCGAAACTTGCAGCTTGGAGAGGGCCCCATTTAAGCCGTACAAACCCAGACAGCTCCACGCGCTCAGGTATTGGCATCTTTGTTATGTTGTACTGTCAATTGCACTTGTAAGGCCAGAGTGCTGTTGCCTCAGGGTAATTGTTGCGGTTTCCCGTGAGCTTAAGTTCAAACCGAAGAGCCCCAAAGCCTATACCCTAACCTCCTAACATGGATTCCTTAAGCCCGAACCCAGACGCCTTGGCATCGAAACCATGCACCCCAAGCCCCAAAGGCCTGAGCCCCAAGCCCTAAACCCTGCAGTGACCTTGGAATGGGGGCATGGATCCCTAGAGTAGTCCCTTACAAGCTCTTGTAGTCGTCCCTATAGTCCATCCCATTCCTCTTCTCATAAATCGAGGAGGACGGGCAGCCATAGAGCATGGACCTATTGGGCCGAGGTGGAAGATTCCGTTCCTCTTGGGCTAAGGGTTTGGGGCTTAAGGTTTAGGAGGTCTGGGATGTAGGTCTTGGGGTTTGGGGCGAAGGGCTTTGGGTTGAGGGCTTGGGGCTTAGCGCTTGCGGCTTAGGGCGTACGTATCAGAGATCAGGGTTAGGGTCTTAATACGTGGAAGTGAGGGGACATGTGCGGAAGTCAGGGCAATCGTTCCGAATCAATGTTGCAAGCCTGACTAAGTGAACACATCTGGATGCTTAAGGAGAGCCTGGCGTTAGAAACGGGTGTAGAACGTCCAAGCCACAGGTATGAACCCCAAGCTGTGAAGCCCCAAACCATCCTGAATCAGTAGCACTGCAGCTGAACATCTTAAGGGCAAGCAAAGCCCTCAGTACCTGAGTCTAGCATATTTCTTCTCCCAGAAATGAAGCGTTCCCTCAGATATTGAATCAGCAGGGTAATTCTGTAGGTAAAGGAAATATGCTTAATGCCTGGACAGATCTGCCTGCTGACTGGATGCTTGCACATCTTCATCTTCTACTTCCTGTGGCTATTCGGTGAAGTCTCGCTGAAGGTGCCTTTGCTGGCAGGTGTCATGGAGGTTTTTGGGGGTTAGCCGGGACGACCAATGATAAAAGCATATGTTCCAGTATATACAGTTCAGATTTTTTGGTACAATTGCCAAGGAAGCTGCAATCAGCGCTGCGGATGCCAAACCTGCCATGCAGATTTTGTTTAGGGGGAGGTTGGTTGGTCGGGTGGGTGTGTGGATGGGTGGATGGGTTTGCTATGGATCCTGCGTTATGCCGCCTTGCACACATCAGATGTCTTGCTCAAGACATCCCATGCATCTCCTCCTCTATTTACATGCTGTTTACACCTGGCTGAAGTGCAGCTTCCCTTTCTCACGATGGTTACTCATCCTCCTAGAAGCGTCTTCAGTGACTTACAATAAGTTCTTTAACAGCAATTCAGGAAAGAACCACGGAGAGTTGAGCTTGGGCACGCCCCAGGTCAAGTACTTCTGCCGCGCCTGGCAGCAAGCACGACAACTCAACGGCTTTCGATACGGACGCTCAGGCGGGCAGAAGGCATGTTGTATTGCCCAGCAATGGTCAGGCAATCTAGAATCCAAGATTCAACTCTGATTCAATCGTTATAAGCAGGACAGTGCGATTGTCTCTGCTCTGTTGAGCTGCTAGGCAGGGGAGCGTGACCACAGAAGTATGCGGGAGCAGTCCTCACGGTTGAAATATTTTGTGCAGGATGCCGAGTGAGATCAAGTGAAAACCTGTTGTGCTTTGTTTAGATTTGTTGGGCTCTTGTCAGGACTTGTGTTCGCACCTCTATTGTGCAAACATCAACCAAAAAAGGAATGCAAGGTTGTGAAGGCCAAGGGCCAATCGCCCCCCTGGAAAGGTATCATGCACATGACCCACAGCATTTGGGTTCTGCACGACGAGACCCAGTTCGACAGCCAAGAGCAGGAACACAGACTCCTGGCTTTGATATGACTTCTTGATCGTCATCTTGGCTTATTGGATCATTGTTCTCATTATCTTCCTTGGGACCCACATGACCACTTGCGTCACTTTCGCTTTTAAGTGTAGTATGGTGATGGTTAGCACTGGCTGCTGTGCTGTCATAACGTTGCTGTTATACTTCGAGGCTTGCACAGGCACGCGAATGATGTGAAGGCTAAGCTTTACCGTCCTTTTCCTCTTAGAGTCTTACTGGCAGCCATGATTGTTATGACTGCTTGTAACGACACTACAGCGTACTTCGGGGCATTGCAGGTACACCATGAAAGTGTCACCGGAGCATGCCGGCTTGGATTGCTTGTGACAAGCCGGCCACTAGAGTTTTAGACCACCGTACTAGGAAGGAGTCCGAGGCTTCAAAGCGTGCCCATGCAAGTGTGAACTGGAGGTATTTTTCTAATGGACTAGCCGAGCCACAGTACATATGAGGTTGAAATTAGGGTCATGATCGTGATGCAGGAAAACAGTAGCAGTCCTGCTGCTACTGCCTCGTCGTACTAGAAGGTGGAACAGGAGGATTCGCAACTGCCATAATACGTTCAAGGCCCTCTACCTAGGTAGTAGGCAGCTGAGAAAACGACAAACATGCTCTTCAGGGAGAGTATGCTTGAGCATGAGCTTCGTGCAGCTGTACAGCCTCACCGGCCTCAACACCGTTCCCCCAATGGACGCCTTGGAGCGCCAGCCGCAATCCCCTCAGCTGCGCGGCTGCAACCTTGAGCTTCCCGTCGATGACGGTTCGGATCTTCCCACTCGGGAGAAGAGCAGCAGCAGCATCAAGTCCCTGCCTACTCCTACTAACAGAGTCTCAGTCGCCGTCGCCGTAACAGCAGATTTCCACAAAGTCTCTCACAATGCAATCGCTGATGATGAAAGTCTGCAAGGTTGGAGAAAAGAGGTCGTAAGGGTGTCGAAAGGCACAGCGATGACAGCTTTGATGGCCTGCGTGATCTTGATTGACATGATCGCCACGATGGTAGACATCGATGCTCGCGCCATCAAGCAAGAGACTCCGATCTTTGCTCTGGTTGTCTCAGAGGTGTGCCTGAGCATCTACACTATTGAGCTTGTTGTGATTTTCGCAGCCAGGAGATGCCGCGCTTTCCGTGACTATGCCGTGCTCTTCGATATCTTCACAGTTCTTTGTGGCTTCACGGCCAGCTGTGTGAGGATCCTGGACTTGCCAGATGGGTATGACTTCATGTACGACCTCAAGGTCTGAAGTCTTTCTTTCTAAGTCAAGAGATGGTCTGTAAGTTCTTTATCTGCAGGAACCCCACCTGACAATTAAAGTAAATCTCTTGGACTGCGCAAATGCCTGCGCAGGTCTTCCGTGCAGTGCGCATCTTGCGCGTGGCCCGGATCGTGCGTAAGACCAGATCCGTCAAGGAGTTACAGAAGCTAGTATCCATGATGGGTACGTGCCTCAAGACGCTGGGCTGGTGCTTTCTCTTCTGCTTTGGCTTCATGACGCTCTGGGCTATGCTCTTAGTGGAGTTTGTGCACCCAATCGTTGAGCAGTTGTACCAAACGGGCGTTGCTTTTGAGGGCTGCCAGGACCGCGGATCCCATGCCGTCGTTGCTACTCCTATGGCGGTGGCGGTTTGGGCTCTCCCCCACCCACTAACAGTCAACATAAACTGCAGTTGTAGTTGTGATGCAAGCCTAATGGTTTCCCTCTGTGGCGGTTAGCGGGTGGAGACAGCGCTTAGGCCGTGCTGGGTCATTGGGGTGGTTGCTGCTTTCGTTAGTGCTATTTTTTGTTGCCTGCGATGCCACAGGACTGCAGACATGCGGCAGCCTCAGTGATGCGGGCGAATCTCTTGCTATTCAAAACGGTGATTGCTGGGGACAGCTGGGGGCAGATTGCCGTTCCAGTCACGTGCTTCTGCTTGGTAAGGAAGCTAGGATCGTGGTAATAATTAGTGGTTGTAGTAGTAGCATAAAAAGTGGCTGCCAGACTGTGTCTCAACAACTTTTCTCGTGGCTTTGCAAGCAAGATTTGCTTCGTTTGTACGCCTTTTTAGAAATTTCAGTCCATGGTATTCGTTGTACTGACCAAAAAACCACATGGTTCGGTCCCTTCATTCCCTTCATCTGAAACCCAAGTCATCGGCTTCTTCCTGCATTCCCTGCCAAGCAGCATCATTTCAGGTTATGGAAGTGCACCCTGCCACAGCTATCATCTTTTGCGGATCGCTGTTGACGCTGATCTTCGGAGTCTTGAATATGGTCATTGCCGACGCTTAGCCTTAATGAGCCCCGCGCCAAGGTACGTGCTGCAATAGGGCTTGCAATCTGCATCCACGAGGAAACAGGTGCAGTTCGAGCTAGAAGCGAGTAGTGAAATCGGAAGATCCATTTTTGCTGACTTCTCCTGACTTCTCTTTGTCAAGAAGCTTCTTGCCAGTCAAGCTTACATGCAAGATGGTGGCCGTTGTGTAGACCCGGCTTCAACATGGCTGCCAGCCATAGCAGCTCGTTGACCAAGCTTTGGAACTTCAGCGGCCGATTCCTAAGGTGGTTGTCGATGGTTTCGCGGAGAGCCGACAGCGAGATGTTATGAATCTAGCAGACGAGCTGGAGCATGATCATCAGAGCGACAAGAAGAAGCTGGAGAACATCTTCAAAAGCTTCTCTCGCACGCTTTAAGCAATGCTTTTTGGGATGGTCAATGACTTTTTCTCTGTTGCTTCATCTTAGCCGGTGGCAACTGCCGGACTTCCGGTAACTAGTATTCAGAGGTCCGTGCAATGGAAAAGCAGAAGAAGTTAACCACCTAAAGAATAGGAACACATAGGAAAACCTGGATGTAAAAACCAGGAAAGAGAAAATTCAATATTAAGCACAGGGAACAAAGAGCAACACACAAGCAGACAAAATGGGTCAAGAATTAAAAGTAGTAGGAACACCATTAACGTCTAGAAAGTTATCGATTTTACCATTGTTTCGTGGTTTCCTGATTTTTCGTGCTTGTCTTAATCCTTTACTCTTGTTTCTCGTTTTTTCGCGCATCGCATTGGAAAAACCTGAAAATAGTTACCAAGAAGAGGAAACCCATCAACGATAGAGGCGATCGAGAACATCCACGACTTTCCGGATTTTGGACTTCTTTCTTCAAGTTTTTCTGTCTGTTTTAAGCTTCTTCTTTTTCTTCTGCCAGACAACTTAAGCTTCTTTTTTGTTTCTGCCAGACAACAGGAACCACAGACAACCTCTACATTTTTGGGGGATATTCCTGAGTTTTCTACTTTCGCTTTGTTGTCTTTGTTGCGTATGTTGTCGTTCACTGCAAGAGGAGTAAAAAGTAGGACAACCTAGGAACAAGTCGTACAAAAATTAGGAGGCTTGTAAACATGGAGACAATCGATCATTTCCTCAATTTCCTCAACCTTCCGGATTTTCCTACTTTTTCCCATGATCGTCCACACTTTACTGCTTTTGTCAAGTTTTTGTATTACTAGTGTTTTCCTGGTTTGTCTCATTTTGCATTTGAAAGCAGGGAAAATTATTCAAGCGAAGGAAAACCGGCCACAGTTAGGGAAAAAGGAAACAGCCAGAGATTCCTCGACTTTCCCGACTTTCTGCGCTTAAAAACACATTGTTTTTTTTCTTACATTGTTGTGCTCCGAGCTTTTCCAGTTTTCCCTATTCTGCGTTGTAAGCTGCAAGAATTAGAAAAAACAGGCGAGATTAGGAGACGTAGAGACAACCGAGACTTTGCGCAACTTTTCGGTTTTTTCTTAATTGTATTCATGTTGTTCATTTCTGGATGGTGTCCGAAGTTTTGATTAATCTTTCAATTTGATTTGTTGTTGAATTTGCTTGTTCCTATTTGCTCTTCTCAAAAACACCTAGTTTTCCCTTGGTTTTTCTTGAGGAAACTGTATTTTTTCCTATGCAGTAGTGGTGCTGTTGTCGTGATTGTCGTCAATCCTCATGTGTCTTGTCTTCTTTTCCAGCTGTTTCTGTGGCTGCTGAAGTTTCAGATGCTGCCGCCGCTGCTGCTGCTGCTGCCACTGACTGAACGCACAAAGAGCTACCAAACTGTTGGCAAAAGCCGCGGCTGCAAGCCTTGTTGAATTCCAGGACTTGACGTGAATGCCAATGGTGATTTGACATTGGACGATCTGGTGAAGGGCGCCCAGAGAGATCCGGAATTTCAAAGCCGGCTGAGGGTCATGGATATTGATGCTAAAGACTTGGAACAGTTCTTCGACATGATTGATGCAGATAATTCTGGCTCTATTGAGAGACTCGGTGCCAAGAAGATTTTCAGGGATTGTGGCCGAAGCCCAGGTTGCTCAGGAAAGGCTGCCGTAGTAAAGCAGTCTTCTTGTCTTGCAATCTTGTGTAGCTCGTTCGTGGTGGCTTATGATGTCGTCAGCCGTTGTTGCTGGAATACTTACCAAGAGGTTCTGGCTTATCTGCCACAGATTAATTACACCGCATACCCTTCGCATATTCCTCCCTGTCTAAATGCTATCTTGACTATTGAGGTCCCTGCATGAAGCAAGAGGGCACCCAGGTATCAGGTTGCCTCTACCTGTCTCCAGAGCAGAAGTTTCCAGGCTACCCATGGGGGTATCTGGCATTCAAGGTTTAAAGGCGACGGGCATCGAGGGTCTCGAGTTTAGTAGGTTTCAGATCGCCATGCCAACCTTTCATGATTGCTGCTTCCATGCCAAACCCGCAATTGAACTGAACACCTAAATCATCCCTTTTTGTTGCTTCCCTGGACAACCGCGATGGTAGTTGTGTCTTCGTGTACGCTGGAACTAAGACCATAAGTACTTTTCTGTTTTTGTGGGAGGTTCTCTTTTTCGGGGCCTGCCCATCTCCAAGGAAAGAAGAATTTGTGGCCCCACTGAGTCGGTGGATCCACGACTCCAAGACGGCACCGCGTTTCGTGAAGTACAACGTGGATCGTCTGTGGCTTGGCGGAGGCATGTTTATGATTGTCGGCGTGCTTGCGGTTTGGATTTTCTTGCTGGCAGTTTCAGAGCAATTTGGAGTTGATGACTGCTCAGAACCAGCCTGAGCTTTCAAAGCATCTCAGATGAGGCTGGAAGATTATCACAAAAAATCAGCAATGCCATACGTTTCCCCAACTTCACATTTTGAATGGCTGATGCGTTCGGGGGACGTTTGCATGCATTTCAGATTTCATTCCTTCCAACATCCAGATCATCCGTAGCGTTCATGCTGATCAGGAACGGCGGGCGTTGTTGGGACGGTTTTTGAGTGAACGCAGTCGCAATCAGATGGATGCCTGATTCAGTTCCAAGCTTGCCATCAGTGTCGACATAAAGGGCCGGAAAACCATTGCCTGCCCACAAGATGTAGCCTGATGTAGACTCTTCATTGATAAACTTTGAGGCTGAACCTCCAAATGCAGCTACTTCGCCAAAGTGAAGGGCAATTTCTGCAATTGGAGAACCGTCTGGATGAGTTGTCCATGCAGTTCACCCCTGGATTAGCAAAAGAGGCTGCCTTTCAACAGTCCCATGCGGCCTGCTCCACCGATAGCAACTTTTTCTTAGGATTCGTATGGCTGCGTGTAGAGTTTTCGAACTCAGGTTTTCATTGGGAGACGGGGCCCCAACTAAGGCTCAATTACTTAAAGTATTTTCGGCATGCTTATCTTGCATAATTATTGCGAGCGCTATCGCGCGTCTGCGCACCGGGCTCGCAAAAAAACGGCTGGGACGTGACTTGCCAGGTTGTGGGGTAGGCAGGCTGGTGACTGGAAGGAGGAGAGTGGAGGGAGGGTGTAGTCCCTAACGGCCAGATGCTGTGTACCGCAAGCAAGCCATGTTTTAGGAAAGCCAACCACCCTTGTCACAACCAGGTATCGAGCCCTGACTGAGTGGGAACCCTTCGGGAAACAGAGTCATTCTCCAGAAATCCGAGGTTTTGTCAGGATGCTTTAGGCTCTGTGCTACAAAAACTTTCCATTGATGGAGCGTTGGCAACAACATTAAGCTTGCCTAGAATCCATACCAAGGGGCACTAGTACGTGCTCAACCAAGATTTTGTGCCAAACACACTATCTTGAAGCTCAAGCAGGCCATAGCGTGAGCTGGCATCTTAAGGTATGATCTCCACGGCATGCGAGAGTGATCCTTGTAATCCCCCATCTTTGCTCTGGATGAACCCTGCAACCCTTTGTAGTTGGAGGAAAGGGCGGGGTTGGGGGCGGGGCGAGGGTGGAAGAAAGCAAAGGAGTGCGGCATGGGGTGTTATTGCAAAAATGACCAGTTTGGGTGAAGCTTCTGGAAGTTGCTGGTCAGCTAGCGGTTGCCCTGTGGGAAACCTTGCATGAAGGTAGCACGGTAGCACTGCCAGGTGCCAGCGGACATCATCGAGCAGCCAAAAGCCTCCTTCTCACCCCAGATGCGGCTGGATTCTCCTCATCGTCAGGTGGAGCATACAGAAGGGGAGCAAGAGTATCCTGGGCAATGCCTCAACAATGGAGCACAGTTTCACCGAAAAGAAGCGGGATCCCTCAATGGGAACCTCTATCCACTTGCCGACTCGCCTGTCGAGGTTCTCAACCCACTGGCTTCGGATTATGGCAAAAGCCACAATGCATAATATTTTTCAACCACAGAAGGGGAGGCTTAGGTCTCAAATGGCGTTTTTCCAACCCATGGAGGTGCTAAAACAAGAACCCAAATTCATGATCACGTTTTAAGCAACCCCTAAATCTCTCTTCGAGTTTGTTGGCACCCATCAGTCCCTGATTTCGTCCCGTTTTCAGGGTCCTTGAAGCCCATTTGAAGAGCTTGCAGGATCAGATTTTACCTGGGTACTCGTGCCCGGCATTGCGTGGAGCTCGAATGAGGCTCAAATAAATTCACAGAATCATGTAGAAAGCCTGAACGATTGAGAGTGCCGTCTTTCCTATGATCTGTGCAGAACTATACTACAGCACGGCCCAATACCCTGATCCACAGAATTGTCCAGGCTTTTCTACATTGCTGGGATAGTGCAGGAAATATATTCATCCCTGCACCTTGACAGACCTCGGAGCGCGTCTGTGCTTCGGTGCGCCTAAACTCGCAGGAGGTGAGCTGTCGCAGTCAGCCAAAAATTTGTGACCTGTTGCGTGCGGTCCAGCTGATGCAAAGGCTTTGAGGGCAGCTTATGCTTTCGGAGGACCTCGGTTCTTTCATGCGACAGTCAAGGCAAAGGCCGCTACAGAAACGGATTCCGTGAGATCGTCCTGCAACCGCTCTTTTGAAGGAGAACCCTGAGAGAGGCTTCGGTGACTGCAGTAGGCACAGTTTCGCTTCACGCCATGGATGGATGACTTTTGTTAAGGCTCCTTCTTGGGTTCGACGAAGGCTACCGGGCTACGCAAGCATCTCTGCAAGGTCCCTACAGGTCTGAAACAATCAAGACGGCAGCAAACTACAATTATTATTAAACTCTAAATCGCTTGACCGACTGTCGCCAACATTCTATAGTCTCTCGCAGTTCCTTGTGCTTCTCCAGTTCAAAACAAGGAAGTGTCTGCGTGACGATGTGCACACTCTTCCACTGGCGCCGTGGCAGCCAGAACAGATGCCAAAACTAAACTGCAGTTTCACTTGGCATCTTCTTCCAACATAAGTGAAGCCTGTAGGCCTTTATGTAAGAACCTCAATGTGTGTGGGTATGCCTTTCAAGGGGCCTTCGGTTTAGCGTTTGGAGCCACCAGCTGTAGCTGTGGGGTTCAAAGGCTGTGGTAGGAACAGCGGCGCATGTCTAGCAAGAACTGGTTGCTGAATGCTCTTCGAACTTTGGGCTTCATGCAATCAGTGTTGTGGCTCTTTTTTTTGCGCGGAGTATCAGTTCAGGGGTTGTTGTCAGAAGCCGGGATCAGCTTGGATCTGGGATGGCCAGCCACTTTCGGATGCGCTAAGTGCTGGCAGCCTTCACACAATCTTCGGTGTAACTTGGATGTGAGCGGCCTCATCGTTAGCCCACTCGTGTTTCTAGATTCTAGACGAGCCCTGTTACCGGCAACACGCTGACAAAACTTAGTTTCCTCAAACTTGATTCCCTAACAGCCCCTTAGATGCATGGACAAAAAACTTTCCATGGTACCAGAGGTGACCGTAAACCCCCAGACCTCATCCACAATCCGAAGCCTTGAACTCCCTACTCAGGAGGCCCCCATTTTTTGGAAACGCTTACATCGCGCCCCAAGGGGAGAGTATCTCTTTCCGACCCTCATTTGTGCCTGTGCTTTCGTGACTCAGCTGCTTGAGTTGAAGCAGCAGCACCTGGGTTTTGGGGCTTTGGGGTTTTCTGTTTGAGGTTCTGGCTTGTGATCCAGGGCTATCGCTTACCTAGGCAGTATGGGTCTCCTCGGAACAGCCCCGAACAACGTGGCATTCAAGCTGGCCTTTCCTTTCTCCTCACTAAAGAGCATGTAAGGTGGTAATAGGGAAGCCGGTTGAGGCAATAGCTGGACTTTGTTGTTGCGCTGCAGGCATTCAGCGCGAAAATTATCACCAGCTTCCGTGGTGCCTTGAGGTGTGTAAAAGCAAGAGCTCAACTTGTTGAGATGTTGCGCTTCCTATCCGTAAGGAGTCACGGGAATCCCGGGCCGATGTTCGGTGTTTGGGGGAAGGACCTGGACTCTTGAAGTCCGAATTTGGAGGTTCAGACAAGTGATTGCCCACACTTTTTTGAAGCTCACATATCCTCAGTCGGGACATGTTTGGGCATGTCCGGTGCATTCCCATGCTTAACTTAAGTGCTGCGCCAGGTGCAGCAAGTGCAGAAAGCGTAGGTAGCGCGTCAATTCCAAGGGCCAGAAGGCGAATTCAAAGCGTGAGTTCAAGCAGGGACCGGCGATGAAATATTTCCACGGCGTGCAGTCCGTGATTGAGAGATGCCAAAGTGAGTAGCGTGCTTGGCACGAGCTCCAGACTGACGCATGTGCCCGCCCAAGTGCAGATGCTGCAGCACTACAAGTAAACCTCGACCCCGGACATGGCTTGTGCTCGGCTTTGTGACTAACCTTGCAGGCCCTGCTAAGGAGCTGCGGCAGCAACATTGTTTGTGTCAATGCTCATGGAGTTTCTTCATGGCGGCCCAGACATCTGAGGCCCAGGCGAAGCAAACGCTCGCCGAGTGTTGCGATGACTTTTGTCAGGCTCCCCGGGCCGCCAGGCCCTTGACTTATAGCTCAAGGCGCCTGAATTGAACGTTGGGCTGGACTTCTTCAGAAAGGTCCGCCTTCGCGCCCTTCTTTTCTGAGCATTCGCGCCCCAAAGATCGTCAGACTCGTCCTGAATCTCTAAACGCCACCCCAAACACTAAACTTACCAAACCCTCATCCATCATCCATACACCCAAATCCATCCCTGGCCTCCTTTACAAGCAGATCTCGGGACGGCGGGGCCCTGCGCGCGTGGAGGAGGGGCAGCTGCCCCAAGATTTCTTGCCACCAAAGCCCTTGTCAGCTCTCAGCTGAGCTGGGCACAGATTTTTTGGAAACGTGATGGTGGTGTTGGCGAAGATGGGCCTGATTGAGTTTAGGTCCTGAACCCAAAGGAATAGCTTTGGGTGGTTTGGCAGCCTCAGATGGCATGAGGTGTGTGAATATAGGAGGCGGCCAGCTACCATGGGGCTCGAGCAGCAATTTGCACAGCACAGTGCTCTCAACAATGCCGCTGCTCGACGATACCGCGTCTGCGCCAAATTAAAGCAGACCCTGGACCCTGGCCTTATAAACCATAAATCCCAAACTCCAACCCCTCCAAACCCAAAACCTGAAGCGCAACAAACCCAAACTACGCGGGAGGTCTTCGGCCTAGTCGACGGGCAAAGCTTTCTGGCCTTGCTAGGCCGAGTGGTAAATCACTGAATATTTTTTTGGGCCTGGCATTCTAGGCTCATTGTTCTGGGCTCAGGTTTGGGTTTGGGCATTAATTAGGGTGAAGTTTTGGATGTTTGCATTTTATTTATGGGTTGCGGATTAGGGTTGCGAGATTTGGGGGTCCAGGGTCTAGTCGGTCTAGTTGAGGCTTTAGGATGGAGAGTTATATGTACATTATTCTACATGGCTAGTTGTCAAATCATGCAAGCGTGCTCCGGTAAAACACGTCCAATGCTGGGCCGTCATGGGACAACTGTAGTATCCACCGTCATGGCGTCGGACGTCTTAAGGATTTGGCATTAATCTTGAGATCCTTCTAAGTCTGTTGAGGTACGAATCTTCTGCAATGTTTGCTTCTCAAATATTAATTCCCATTCATGTACAGCAAAATACAAGGTGCTGTATTACAAAGGATGCCAAAAGTTGTGTAAGTCCGCACCTAGAACCAGTCTTGTGAGTCACAATCAAGGTCGCCTTGAAGATTGAAGTTGGTGGTTTTACTGTTACACGTAAAAGAAGTTCTACAGGCGTTGGAAATTGCGCCCTCCGAGCTATCTGCTTGGGCTTGCAGTATCAAAGGCCGCTAAGATCAGGGATGCACATAGGGACGAGCGTGCGCAGGGATAACGAGCTCGCTCATGCTTCAGGCTCAATGACCTTTCGAGGATTGGTGGGAGTTTTTTTCGTGTTTATGTACCGCGCAGAACAACATTTTCATTTCGGAAGCATTTGCTATTTCGTTTTGGAGATTTCTCAAACACGAAGGTCCAGCTATGTGACACGAAATGAGAAGATCTTTTTGCGTACCACAAAGCTGTATGAGGGGCAGGCAATGTACAGAAGTTAGCATATTGATGCCAGGACGAAGATTACCTGATGGAATGCATCTCCAGATGGATCCCAAGCATGCACGGAAGCATAGGCTGATGTGTGAGGTTCTGAGCTCAAATGCCATAGCGAGCATGGCTTGCTGGCCCACATGTCCACATGGCATTCGACCCACAATTCATTCAGTAAAGAAAACGGCAAAGTACTATGGATTGCAAGAAGTCAAGCCTACCTCCAACTGCCAGTAGTGGCCTAGAGCTTGGTGGGAAGCTGGAAGCCCCACCCAGGGACTAAACCCATAGATCCCGAAGTGCCACGACCAAGTCCTAATCTACAGCAAAAAAAACCTCGTACGGGGGCATCTTGCACTCCTCCGCGCCAGTGACAGGCGCCTGCTCGGTTCTGATGAGCTGGACCGAGCTGGGCTGAGCGGTAGGATTGTCTTCAGATGAAGTCAGTGAGGATATCGAAAACCCAGACATCAAGAAAGCATGAAAGACAGATGTGTTCATGCAAAGGTGAAGACGCCTCAGCAAGTAAGGACTGTGTAGAGCGCACGGATAAGTCCTTCAGGTAGAAAGACTTGGTCAATTCACGTCCGTCTTCCCACACCTACCGCTTCCCTTGTAGTCTGGCAAACGAAGAACTGTTGTAGCAGATCTTCCATTTTTTCAGCAATCCCATGCATTTCGGAGGTAGGGCTTTCTCTAAACTGCAGCAATAGCACTAGCAGACCGCGAACAAGTTGTACCAACGATCTTTGCTACAACTACCGTGGGATTTGGTTGTGCAAGGGGCCTGCGAGGTTTACTGCTCAACATTTCTAGCTCGTGACTTGCCTGCCCATCTCAGCGGCATGTTTTTTGTTTAAATGGTTTATGCAACTCTCGTCCTGTTGAGGTCATGATGATTAGCAGCAGCTTGGATGAGCACCGCAGACTCTAGCTGTTCACTCGAGAGTTGTTGGCTTGTAAGGCTTGGATAGCTGCACAGCAGAATTGCACAGGAGCTTGCTTGCATGTAAAATTCCTGAGCTGGGGGCTCGCGCTGCACTTGTAGTTGACGTCCGCATCGTATCTACAGCAGGGTGAGCATCTCAGAAGTGCACAAGACACAGCTATCATCCCTGCTTGGAACGCTACGTCGGCCTGTAGTCCCTGTTGACGAAGCAGACAGACTTGGCGGGTGATTTCTGAGCCGCCTCTCCTCCCAGCCACAGTTGTCTCGAAAGCTCTTCCTGGAGATTCATGGATACTTCTAATCAAGCTAGAGACAGAGCAGCTTTACAGTATGGTTACTATGCACCACACTGGCATCTGCTTTTGCAACTCCAACTCCCTCAGGTTTCTTCGACAAGATTCAGCCATGGAACCCTCCAGCTTGGCTGAACCGTCACTTTGGACATCCAGACGAACTGCAGCGATGGGGTGGGTGGTGCAGTAGTGTTCTGCTTCAGGGGAGTGCTGAGAATGATCTTAGAGGTGACTCATTGTTGGACTCCAGTCTTAAGGTCTCTGCCTGAAGATAGGTAGGGATGTCTAAAAGTCACGTGGCCGCTTGGGGAATCAGCTAGCGTTTTTCAGAGTTAGCCCAGGCGCTTCATTCTTGCTATGCTATGCAGTCGCCGCAAAGATCCCAGCAGCGCTCACAACTGTGATGCGAAGCCCTGGAAGGTGAGAAGTGGTGCAGGCTCAACCACAGTGCTCAGAAGCGACAGCGCGCTCTGGCTCTCCTTCGCTACTTCTGTTTGTCAAGCTAGGTGCCAGTGGTTAGGGTGGGCTCTTTGTATGACTGCTTGTGTGGCCTTCTTGGTTCATATATCCCTTGAGTGCGCGGTTTCGTGAGAGGAAATGTGGAATGAGACGAGAACACGTAGGACTCCAGGGTTGCATCATTGAACCTAGCTGCTGGACCTAGCCTCTCGGTCTTGGATGACGCCGTGGTGTGCATAACAGCAATGCGAAACCCCCTGAGAGATTTTGCAATCAAGGTCATCCCTTCGCCATCACGTTGATCATGCTGGGGACCGTGGCTAGATTGAAGATTTGAGTGGATGGCTTGGGATCTGGTACTTGTCGCTGAAATTAGCTGCCGCTGCTGCTATTAACACCTACTGCTGCCGCTGCCAGCACGACCACATTTCGAAGAGGCGCCGTGAATGTATTACCATGGGGGCCCTCATCATCAATCTCAACACTTGTCTTCATTACTTGTGGAGCATGCTGATTGCAGTGATGATGGTCGATAGGTTTGACCTCCAGCACCAGTTCCTAAGCACCATAGCCACGGTTTGCTACCCCCCACCACATCTGTCATGGGTAACATTGCTTCCTGGAGCATGCGTTGCTGCTGCGTTCATGGCCAAGTTACTTAAGGTCTTTGCGGCTTTCGACTTCAGGTGGCTGACGATTTCCTGTGGCGTGGCAGCTCATGGCTCCGGCTTAGATGCAGGGCTTAGGATTTGGAAGTCTAGAATCTTTACGACCTGTTAAATTCCTGGGATTGGAGCCAAAGTCGACAGAAGGGCGTAGCCTGCCTAGTATCGACCAGATCGGAAAGGCGTGATTCTTGCACGGCGTGTTAAGTTTCTCCAGCATTCACAAGAACATGAAAGCCCGCCTATGTATAGCAGTAACATTCATTCAGATAGCTGCTTGCTGTCATACATAAGATGGTGAAGGGGGCTCGGATTGGGGTTGTGTATGTTCCAGTTGTAACATTGTGGAAAAGAGAAGCTAGGCCTTGCAAATGATTTGGAGCCCGGGCCAAGCTTCAGCCTTCGCGCTTGCAACCTCGGAAGTTTTAGGCGTCATGTTGCCAAGGGTAGAGTTTGAGAGTGACTTTGTTTGAGAATTGCAAGAGAGGGTCCTGAAAAAACCAACACCACCTTGAAGATGTGCCAAGATCACCTTAGTTCCTGCCTGTGCTCAGGTGAGAAAGCTGCGCGCGGTAGATGAAGATAAGCACGGGATAGCCTCTAAAGTGGTTGCTTTGAAAAAGCTTGAGCATTCGCATCTTTCCGATATTAAAAGCTCCCAGCCTTCAAATTCAAGCATCCTCAAGCCCCTAGAAGTTCCAAGCCCCTAAGCCCGAAGATCGATCCTAAAATTTCCTAAGCCCCGCCCTACACTCCCTTTACGGAAGCTCGCAGTTTCCCGAAACCCTAAATCCCCACCACAGAACCCCAACCCCTAGCGTTGTCAACTCTCAACCCGGAACCCCTTCTGAACCTCCCGTCCCAGGTCTGGTGATACTGTTCTTCCTTTTTCTTCGCTTACTGTCCATGCACCTGACCCGGCTGTTAGCCTTTAGGGTTGGGGATTCTGGGCTTGGGGTTTAGGGTCTAGGGTGGCTGAGGTTGTAACATGAAGATCCTTCCTTCCAGTGGGCCCATACTTCTTGAGAGTCTAAGCCGCCACCTGTCTCTGCAGGGCCAAACCTGTTGTAAGGCGTACTGGTGTCAAGGCACAATTTGGAGGTCCACGTAGGTTAGCTGCACTTATTGCTCACCACTCACCACTGTCAAGTCTGCTGAACCCCGGGCTATACAATCGCAACGTCCCATACGTTGCCTAAGGCCATCACCAAAACCAATTGTGATTCCACGAAATTCCAAGTGAGGTACAAGGAGGGGAACTTTGGCTGGGCCACTGCGCTTGTGGCAACTCTGCTGGAGTTGAAAAGGAGCACTGTCAACGTTAAGATGACGAGCAGGGACGTAATTTTTACTTGCTATCTGAGCTTCTTGGAAAAGTTGAGTGAGGGACGCAAGAGTCACGAAACGAGAAAACGTCTTTTCCTAGCAGTGCAAACTAAAGCAAACCATTCGGAGAGGGCTGGTGAAGATGATTTGGGTATAATATAGGGTTATATAGGGATAATGAAAAGAAAATGGAAACCCCACTATAATTATAAAGTTATGAAGGTGAAGATGATGTCCGCGGGGTTGAGTATTGGAGGTCTTGTGGCAGAAGGCAGGATGCCTTTGGTTGTTGGATGCTGTAGCTTGGCACTGGGACGCCTTAACAGTGGACTTTGGGTCATCTGACGCCAAAGAAATGTTTATGTGCATGAAGGCGAAGACGGCAACGGAGCCGTGGCAACAGCAACTTACTAAGTAGTTTCCCTGCTCCAGCCCGATCCTTCAGGCACCCCTAACCGTATTAGTCCCGAGACGTGAGCAAACAAACCCACAGCCCGCGCGTATGTGTTTTGCGACATCTGGAAGCCTTGAGGCAATGGCCTCCCAATAGTCCGCAACACATGGACCTTAGGCTTCAAGACCCCAAGCCTTAGTTTTGGCTCAGCAGCTGCTGCAGAGAATTTTGTGCCTGTTTATGAGAATGGTATCCCCTACCCACCTACAAAAACATCCAATTCTCCAATTCTATGACTTTCTCAACCAAGAACTCCGCATCCTACACTCTAGCCCAGGAAGCCTTGATCGAAGCGATCTTCCTGCAGTCCCTTGTGATCTCGCCCTTGGGCGACAAGAGTTTGGGGGGTTTGGGGTTTCCTTCAGCTCTCTGCTGGAAGGGCTTGAGCTCTGAGGCAGATTGAGGGTCCACAAGCGCATGTTCAAAGCAAGCGATCAGCAAAAGGAGTTCCTAAGTTTTTTTAAGATACTCCGTTTCAAAGGGATGTTTCGGCTTTCATGTTCACATCCCCGTGGCTCTTGTCAGCGTAAATGTTGCTGTTGCTGTGCTCAATTGATTGGGATTTGGGCTTTCGGCATCGGAGAAAGTTCCAGGCTTGGGTGTGACCTGCTTGAGCCGGCAATGTGTGAAGAGTGAGGGTTGAGGCAACGCACCACAGTTTACCCTTAGGGCCATTCCTCCCATTTCATCATGTCCAGAAGGAGTTCGGTTGCTTGTTTGGCGTTGGAGAAAGTATGCGGATCAGGCCAGCGCAGAATGTGATATAACAGCCATGGTAGAAGCAGCTCTGGTAATGGTCATGGGAATCAGGACACTACTGCTTTGGGAGGACATATTGTTGGTCAAGGCTTAGAATGACCCCTGACTTGAACGGCAAGCCCTAACTAGAGCTCTGGACCCGAAATCAAAAAGATACAGGACGGCGGCAAGGCCGATGTTAGATGCGTCCCTCATCACGCTGCTCTGCGTCTTTTGGCAGAAAATGCTGGCATGGTCTGCATCTAATATACCAATGCAGGGAAGCACGCGAGAGTCATGTGTGCAATGCGAGGAGCGGGGGGTTCGTTTTTGGTTCTGAAAAGAGCCCATGAAGATCAGAGGGGCTAGCAGTCTCTGAACGCAGCATCTAAGGCGATGCGACAGAGACTTGTCTACAGTGGAAGCCTGTCCCAAGGTGAAGGAACCCTACCTTTGCAACATCCGTTATCTTCACTTCTTTGGGGTTCGAGGCCTAACATGCATCTGCGCAGAGCTTAGTCTGGGTCCCACTTCCTGGATCAATTGGAAATCTGGTCATAGCTTCCAGTACAAAGGATTCGAGGAAACCAGATGCTGAATGCGCTGCTTCTGAATGAGAAGAGGAACAAGGTTACAAGATGGAAAGAGATGGTATGTTGCTTTGAGTGGTCAAAGCCCCAGGGGGTTCCGATGAAGAAGCCAGGCACTAACATGGTTATCACCATGCAAGGGCAGCAGATAAGCGTGGGGAATAGGAGGCCTTTGCCGTTACTGTATTGTATTCCAGCCCGTGGTCCTTCAGTCAAATCCACTTGCATGCATCCCACCTTTTGATTGTTGCGAGTGGAAAGAGTCAATCATGATCTTATGCACGTGAAGCCGTTGTCTTAGCTCATTGAAGATGCCTTCCTTACGGTAGCAGCTTGGTAGCATTCATCATGTTGACTTCTACTTGCCCAGGAGGCAGCAGTCCGAGTCCCTTTGCCGGGTGCAGCATCATTCAGCTAAGCGTCCAACAATCGCATGCATGAAGGCTCCCTTCTAGATTTAGCGCGCTAGGTCATCAACCCCAAACCTAAATCCTAAACATTTACCCTCAACAGCCTGCCCTCAAGTCTCAACCCATGAAACATCTGCGAAAAACGGAATCAGGTTTGGCTTTCAGCGTGAAGTTCGTGCTGGGGATCGAATACGTGTGGTACAAGCCCCAGCTGGGTTGTAGGCTTCTCAGGTGTGGGGTTTGAGGTGGTTTATGGTAAGCTTCTCTGCGTTTGGTTTGCCAGTGCTTTGGGCGTAGGGCGAGGGACAAGGGAAAGGCGGATTCTCAACTGGAGTCTCCTTCGCTTTTAATGCAAGCCTAGCTTGGACGAGTCCACAAGAAGCCCAACGTTGCGCCCCATTCCACCGAATGCTGCAAAACCAGACTCAGGTCTCGCTGATGGGTCTGGGTGTCGTGCATGCGCGGATCCTAGCCTCTGGATGGTTCCAGCTGTAACTTCGGTTCACGCAACGACAGCTAGGAGCAAGAAGATGGTCACGGCTTTGTTTTTCTTGTGCTTTTCGAGGAGGTTTTGGTACGATGATTTTTCAGCAGATGGTCTCATATCAGTAGCGCTAGCGGTGGACTGACTTGCGCTCTGAAGATCTCGGGACTTGTACGATCAGCGAACGCAGCAGCCATGTAGCAGCCTAGTGTTTGCTGAGGGCTACGCAAGGCTGGCGATAGTGGCGGCAGCAGCAGCAGCAGCAGCAGCACAGACAAGAACTAGTGGATGGTCGCGCTGCCCATGGTGTTAGTTCTCACCATTGCCATGATCACTTCGTGAGCATATCAGAGTACAACATTTGATCGTGGCGGGAACTTGCGGCTTCACAGGCTGACCCCGCAAGCCTTGCCCCCACCACTTGACCACGTGCTGAGTTCGTGATCATCATCATCGCTGCTTGGCGGCAGACAGGTATCGCCTGGTGGGTGGTAGCAGCCTGAGAAGGCAGGTTATGAGGTATGTTAAGCCCGTTAGCAGCTTTTCTTTCCTTATCAACACCGAGTTTGGGCCATGACAGGCCCTACTCCATACATCTGCATGCGGCCATGCTGCTTTTATGTCGTCTTGATAGGCGAGATGGGTTTGTGAGGGGATTGAGTTGTTGAAATGGATGCGGGCTCTGTAATGTGCTGCAAGTCTTCACAGCGGAATTTGCAGGCAAATGCAGAAGGCTACATGTACAACCTGCTAGCGGGCTCTTACATTAGCAGCCAATGCTGACAGATGATGCGGGCGTGCGCTGCCAGACCTACTCGTTTTGTCTTGTCTCACTGCATGTAACTTGTTATTCTGACAGTTGTCCCATGTTTAAAGCGACATATAGAGCTAAAACGCATTTACCTTTCATTCCAGTTCTTGGTGCACCAGCCAGACTGCTAATTCTGATGGCTGTCATACTAAACCCTTTACTACTACATTGGTGCTAACAAGCTAGCTTCCTCCGCCTCCTCCGGCTGCTGCAAAGTGGGTAAACACCACGCGCACTTTGCGAAACTCGCAAAACCCATCTGATCCGAATCAAGCGCCTGAAGCAAGTAGCAGTATGGTTCTGCCTTTCCTAAATAAGATTCAGCGCCTTGGAAGAATCCAGATACAGAGAGGCCTGCTGGAGAGCTTTTCGATCCCTAGCTTGAGCCTAACGAAAACGAGCCTAGTTGAGGGTTCATGAAGCAGTCAAGAGGAGGGTCGCAGAAGTATTCCAACTACAGCGATGATCATCCACAGTTTCCGGAAGCATGGAGAGCCGCAAGGGCCGTAGGTTGCCATCACAATAGCAAACGTGGCAGTTGCTTCGACAAGCATGCCCTTAATTTTGCTTCTTCATTGGTAGGAGGGAATGGCTCCTTCTCTCTTCCCCATCATAACTCCTGGAGTAAGCCCCAAACCCCCTTGCCAACAAAGGGCAGGTACGTACCAAATTGAAGTTACGAAGCCCCAACCACACTCATTCCTGACATTCAGCCCCTAATGCTGACGGCCAAAAAAGACCCTGAGACCTAAACTGTGAAACCCAAAGACCGAACCTTAAATTACTGAACCTCAAGGCCTACGCCTAAACCCCAAACCGTAACCCCCAAAGCCGCCACCTTAACCCACCAAGCTTAAAGCCAAAGCGAAAGCCCCAAGCAAACTTAAACCTCAAAGCCTGAAACCAAAAGCCAGATCTTCATCCCCAAAGCCACTGCAGGTCTGCTTGGCATTTGTGTCGTCCTTTCAGGCTACTCGTTGGAGCGCGTGCCTTGGCGGCACTGTGGCCCAAATCCTGTGTCTTCAGACCCGGTGGATCTAGAATTCAGAGATCGTTTTCAGGCTTTACAAGGGTTGAGGTGTGAAGGCTGCTGGTTGAGGATTTCACTCCGAGGCTCGTTTTGGAAGATGATTTCCAGCCAAGTGCAAGCAGATGATGATCTGCCTCCCTCAAGCTCACCCAGATGGGTTGGCGGGGGATGGTTGCACTGGTGCAGCTCTGTCGAGATCAGCGATCAGCATCATCTGCATTTTTTGGTTTTTGTGGCGGCTTCCATGGTGGACAGATTGCAATGCCTTGTATCAAATTGGAGTGATGTGCTCTCATCCGAATCAGGCTCGGGGTAGGATCAGACGAAGCTCCTGTCAGGTTCTGCGCAAGCCCGAACATTGCAGACTGCCAGTTTCAGCACATTGGCCGTCGAACCTCAGCTCTGCAACAGGTGCAGGTTCTAGGATTCTAGGCACCCATTTCATGGCCATGGTGCCTGACGTCACATGGCCTGGCTTAGTGTCAAGCGCCTCCCATGATTCATCCGCACCGCCCGTGATGTTGAACATTGTTTTCACTTTCAGAACGGTTTCAAATTGAAATCAATCAATAGACTTGCTTCATTCGTTACGAGGGAGAGCTTGGGATGTGACCTGCGAACAAGCATTGCGCTCTCTAAAAACTGCGATGTGGTAATGGGGCTTAGGGCGTGCGTTCTCACTGCAGGTCCCTTTTCACAATCCTTGTGTCCAAAGTCCAGAACCCTGAACTCTGAGCATGAGAACTTTTGTTGCAAAGGGGCCATGACTATGGATGATGCGCTCATAAGTAGTGTGTGCGTTTCGGGTTCTAAGGAGGTGGATGAGGAAGTTGTCATCAGACATCCAATGTGCCACGTTCCAAGGCTCGCAGCTTTCGGAGTCGTACACTCCCTTGCAACCTGCCTTATCAGACGCCTTGCGCATTTCAGGGCTTCGGATTTCATCGAATTTTTATTGGACTCTATCCCAATTCTGCACTGGGTTCACAGTCACCTCCCTAGTTGATTGATGCAAGCTAAGTTTGCGCGACAGTTTCGCGACAATTTCGTACAAGTGTCGCGTAAGCAGAGGCTACGGCATGTGAGCAAGGGCTCACAGTAGTATGTGTCTTATAGTCACAGTCAGGAGAGTCTGCAAACATGTGTGGCTCTTCTATCTGGACCCGAGGAATGAGTCCTGCTGAGCCCTCTCTAATCTTCTCAATCCTCTCAACTCGCCTCTAGCATGTGTGGTTCTACAGTCAAAGGGCTTGAGATGCCTTGAGGCTTTGGGGTGCAAATGCCTCATAGAGCAGTTTCCAGTGGCTGTCGGATTCTGTAATCCATGGTTTGGGGGCTTCACAGAAGCTAGCCATCCGAAACATGTGCGGCGATGGGTCCTCGGATGTTTGGCAAGGGCAGCTTTTGTTTCCCTGTGAAGACGGTCTTTCGAGATGAAGGAAGAACGGCCATCAATACGCACATATACACAGTTTTAATGTACACTATCCAGCATTTTCTGTCCAATTTTAAGGTGAGTGGGTACGTGTAGACAACAAGCAGGGCTGCAGATGTTTGGGGTCTCAGCTTTCGACATGGCAAGCGCGCAAGGGCAGGGAAGTCCTTTCTGTTGCGGGATTGGCTCCTCCAGCAATGATTGAAAGGTGCCAGATGCAGTTTCCCATAGGGAACAGCAAGCACTTGAAGATTGCGGTCGGGGGCTTGGTAGTGCAGAGCGCATGGTTCACAGCTGAAGGTTCGCGGTTGGAGTTGATCAAGGGGCGTCTGGGTGGTTTTGAGTTAACGCTTGCAGAGACTCTGAATGTTTCTGGCTCTACAGGTTCCTCAACACTTGGAAAAGTCTTCCGGAAGACATGGTTTGTAAATGGCCTAGGTGCAGTGAACTCTTGAGATCTTTATTTGGCTGTACGTGTACAGCCCAGGAAATCAGGCCAACAGAGCAACCTCAACCATATGGCTGTAAGGCGAGCTCACAAAAAGTAGTCTGTTTGTTGTCTCCAGAGGGTGCCACTATTGGCTGACATGTCATGCACTCAGGTACTTCACTTGCCTTCTCTCTCTCTCTCTCTCTCTCTCATGTTTGTTTTTTTTTGTTCTCTCTCTCTCTCTCTCTCTCTCGCTCTTGCTCTCTTTTTCTCTCGCTCTCTTCCCCCTCTCTCTGCCGGCATGCGGCGGACGCAAAGCATCCCCTGCATAGCGCTCGTGCTCTGTTCCTCCCGATCCCTCAGATTATCTCGGTATCTCGCGCATGTGGTCAAAGAGCAACTTCTGACTTGAAGAGCGAGAATGATGGTTCTGGGGTGTCTAGTGCAATCAGGGCAGCAATCCTAGCAGTCCTAGCATGCCCCACCAAAAGCCCTCAACTGCTAAGATGTAGCTTATTCCATGGAAAGCTCCACGCTGAGGACTTTGGCCTGTTTGCTTCGCTTACTTATGAGCCTGGCACCAAGTTTTCACCAGTGGCATTGGGCCTAAGGGTTGGGGCACATTTCTTGGGTTGGAACGTCTCTGAGGGATAGGGCAAATTCTCCACACCAGCTCCCAACAGAACGGATGCAGGCCAAGCTGTATTTGTGGAAGGCGAGGGTTCAAGACGATTTTGCATGGCTTTCAGCTGATTTTGTTAGTTGCACTGGTCAGGCACTCCTCCTTTCCCACGTCTCTTTCAGGCTTCTCGAGGTGCTTCAAAGAAACCCTGATACATTAAGACTTGTCTGCCCTCAGCTGGTCGCTCAGGATTGGAAGCAGGGGGTTGTCAGAAGTGCAGGTTGAGGGAAGCTTGTTCTGCAGGAACCGGTCTTTCTGTGCGTGCTGTCACTGCAGCAGCAGCAGCAGCAGCAGCAGCAGCAGCAGCAAACCCCTAGTGCTCAACCCCTGCAATCCTGGAAGCTCTTGAAGTAGAAGGCCGATCGACCGCGTGGAAGCTGCGTTGCAGCACTACTTCCCAACATGGCGCTTGGATTTCGCACTCAGGGCCGAGAAAGGCCTGGGCCCCCAGAGCATCATCGTGGAGTTGGGTTGAGGGTTCATCGCTTCAATCTCCTCTTTCATGCTGCACCCCGTTACGTGTAGTTGGGGAACAGAAATTCAGCAGAAAGGGCACTCTTTAAAGCTTCCTTGACTCCGAGGGCTTTGTGGACGGATCTTCGAAGATTGTCAAGGGGATTATCGTTGCAGATGAGCTGGTACAGAAGGGTTGTAAGCCTTGTAAGCATTATAGGGCCACAGTAGCAATACCGACCACCCACAATATCACCTGTGGCGGTGGTGGTAGTAGTTCTTATGCTTGTGTTGCCGCTGAAGTTTGTGTTGTCGCTGGCGTGGCGGCGGCGGTCTTGGTGGTGATGAATTGACAGAAGGCCGCGGCAGCTGTGCAGCCCCCTTGCTATTTCTGTCGGTGAGCTGAGGCACGGCAAAACAACCCACTGACTGGTCGCGGTTCCTGATGTTCACATCAGAAGACAACCGAGGCCTGTCACGAATAGAAGAAGCAACTTGTTGTTGCTGCAGTCCAGCATCTACACCAGCTTGATAATTGTCGTGCCAAGCCAAGGAACAACCATCATTGCCATTCGCGGGACCCTGGATGCCGTGGATGTGCCTCGGTGTGTTAAGTGACTTGTTGCAAAAAAGCCTGAGGAAAGCGACGTGTAATTGGAAGGTTCCACTAAGAATTGTTGCGCTTCGCTAGATGGCGTGGCAGTGCTGGCATTTGCAACATTTCTTGGGGTCAGGGCTTCGCACCTTGTTTCCCGACTTTGGCGATGCCAAGCGCTACGCAAATTCTGTTACCGCAGCAGGCATTTCACGATTCAGATAAGACCGCGCCTTGCGCTTTTTGAATCTGGATTCGTTGTCTCCCGAGTTGAATCCATGCCTGCCTTTTGGGCTAGAAGGCTCTGACGTGCTAGGAAGAACACCGCTCAAGCTGCAGTTTACGTGACTTCGTTGGAGCATGAGAGTCTAATTCGTTTAGAGGATGGTTGTGGAGGTCACTGACCCTACATAACGACAGATTCCGGCATAGTTACAAATGAAAAGAATTCCTGCCCTGCACCTGCGGCAGTGTAAGCTCTACAACGAGATGTATTGTGCGCACTCGGCATGGGGAGAACCCCAGGCGCAGTTTTAAATGCAGTTCCGCGGGGAAGGTCCTCCAAGACATCTCTCTGTGGATGATACCGGCCATACTCCAGTCGCCTGGCCAACTTCAAAAAGACACAGGGGGCTTTGAGGTTTTGTGATGTAGTCTGTCCGTTCTGCTTTGGGGACGTGCAGCGCAAAGGGCTTGGAATAGAAGCCTTAACCAAAGATGCACCGCTTCCAGCAGAATTGAATGAGGTTTTGTCCTGGATAGCTTCATTTTGCCGGCAACGACCAGCATGCATGCTCTGCATCATCCTACGAAAAGGGGAGGCTTGTGACGGTGGATCGCGAGGAGCTACCGGCGTTCCCTTTTTGCTTCTACATGCACTTTCTTCAACACCCGAAACCCATTGCCTTGAATCCTGCATGCTATGGACTCTCATGATTGATTCATGAGCGTCTCAAATCTTGCATGGACCCTTAGCTTGAATACAGTGACAAAGAAACTCCAAAGGACAACATGCTGCAGGCGGATTTCACCTGGGGAATTGACACCCAATGAGTAATATGGAAGCCAGGCTGCGCAGCAGCTCTTTGGGCATGGTTTCTAAGACTATTCCACTTGAGGGTCCTAAGCCTTAAGCTCGATAATCCCCTAAACCATCCAAACGCTAGGCCTGCTCAGGCACCTGTATTTTGAAACCGGCAGTGCTGGGAATGGCATCCTTTTTCCTCCTTTAACCCTATACTAGCTTGCCCACCAAATCTGTTTATCGAAGCCCCTACATTACGGTAAAGAATCAGCCCAGGACGATAGGCCTCGTTGGTCCTGACATCGGGGCAGACTGCTGGGGCATTGCCATGGCAAGGCTGTTGGGGCTTCTGTGTTCGTGCATGACCTGGCTGTTTTTGGGGGCTCTGAGTCTTCCAGAAATTGAGCTTTGCTGTGGATGCTGCATCAGAGATGGGCTATGGTGGCCCTATGCCTTTGTCACTGACTTTCTTTTGAACCATCCATGATCCTGCAAGTGCGGGCCTCACGAGCCAACCCTCAACCCCGTGCTTGCTCCAGGCACGCCAACGCGTTTCCGCTGCGCCAGACCTGCACGAAAGTTGGCTGGTGGTGCGTGTTCAAGAATTTGAGAGGTGGGACTATACCGTGGGATGGCATTCCTTGTTTTGTTCTTTGATTCCAGCACTCGCGGAAGCTTGTCAAGAATTTCAACTTTAAGATAGGAGTTGCTCAGCGCAGGGCAGTTCCTAAGAAGACCCACGACTGCTGTTCCCACAGGCTTGATAACGCCGGGAATGTGGCAAACTTGTGCAACTGTTCAAAGGTGCTCTGTGTCGCTGCAGTCAACCTATGCATCGCTCTTGAGCGTCGTGCTTGACATGCTGACGACCTACCCAGACAGGCGGCTCAGCAGCTTTGTATGAGTGCAATTCCGTTCATGTTGAGTGTTGGAATAGGATTTCTCGCGAAAGAGGGTGTGTATGAATTCTTACAAAGGCCACTTTACAGGACCACTATCCTGGACCTTAAATGACCAGCTATCACAAGATATCACAGGATGTACCCAGCGTCACTAACGACACCATGGTGGCGTAGATGCACGCAGCGGCCTTGCGAGCGCTGCAGAAGTATAGTCCCCCTTGAGTAGATAGAATATGGCTTTGGGTATAATACTCTAATCAGATTCTACCCCGTATTCTATGTACTTAAGGGGACTATACTCTAGGAGCCCTTCTGGTCCTGGAGAGCAAGCTTCACAACCAGCTTTCGGGTACTTAGGGCTAAGAGGCAGCCGATATGCTTGTTGCCACTGAGGACGTTCTATCTGACGGGACATTCGCTTGGCGGCGGCGTCGCAAAGCTCGTGGTCCGAGCCTTCAACCTCCAGCCTTTCACAGAAATGTCACTAGTGTGACTCAGTGAAGGTCAAGCATATGTGCCATTTGCGCTTGCATTGCCGCAATCCTGCTTCCGGGTAAGACCTGATCAACATTCACAGCTGCCCTCACAAACCATGAAATACTGGCTCTCATGGAAACATTTGGAAACTCTCTTTCGCTGCCTCGCTGAGGACCTGGAACTCACTGTGCAACTTGGTCCTGTCATAGCTGACCAGGGCTCGGCAGCAAAATTATTTTTTCAGGTACACTTCAATCTGGAGGCCTGAAAATCTGAGTCCGTGTTAGCAGGAATCCTGCAGCCATCATGCTTCAAGGAATCCTAGTTACAATGCGCAGACCTGTCATGGGGGTTGGACATTGGTTCAGCAAAAAGTTTCGTATTCTTGCTGGCTCTAATTAGGTGAATACACATCATCCCCCCTGTGCACTTAAATAGTCGTTTCCCAACATCAAGCTCCGCTTTCACAGGGTCCCACTAGGCCACTAGGCAATTCCTTCACATTCATTAGCCTTCAAGGCGAGCAAGCAAGGGATACACTGAAGCTCAGGAGACAGGTGAACCCACGCCCAGCGACCATCGCCTTTTCTGCTCCAGGCAGGAGAACCTGATACAGTTTTTATCGATGATGATTCATTGGATCGGGCATGCTAGCGTAGCGTATCAGTGTTTCGGGCTTTACTGCTTTATGAGCATGACACACGCGAGAGTGCTACGAGTAGGCCTAACTCTGGACGCCATTCGCATGAAAAGTAGAAAGAGAGGTCTATTTCTCGGCTCGCACCAGCTGACAGGGGTTTGAGCTGGCCTCCGCATGAAGCTTGCGAACTAATCCTCATGAAGATTCTATGTGATCCGTAAGAGCTTAACACCCCTCCACATAATTCAAGAAAGCCAGTTCAGGTCTGTGACTGTAGGCCCACACCCTGCCCTGAACATTAAGAGATCTCATTGGATCACTAGAAGACTTGATGATAAGCAGGGTGAGGGCAACCATTACAGGGATCCAATGCTGTAACTCCTAAAAGAACTTGCGAAGAGAGCTGATTCGAGCCCTGAGGCCTGATGCTGGCATCGCAGGTCCTTTACTCCGGCCATGTCAGTCGCCCGGCCTACACAGAGGTTTCCACATCCAGTTGCGTTCTCCCTTGTATAGACGTTTTCAGAGAGACTGTAGGCTCGGGGCAAATGTTCGATCATGGGAGTTGCGCGGCATTTTCAGCCGTGATAGGTTTCAGGGGAGTTCCAGATGTCTTTGGCTGAGGAGTCCGCCTCTTCTACCGGCAGTTGGAATGGTGTTTCCGAAAAAGGAATCTCCCTATACAGTCCCGCGAAAAAAGATTGTAGTTTCCAGTAAAAGAGAACCCCGGAACCGTGATTTCGAACGCTGCAGAATGCTTCAGATTTGGGGTCTTACAGGGATACTGACGTCCCCAATATAGATAGAGCAACATGATAACCATTTTTCTGCCTGTAGTACTCTACAAGAGCAGAGCCAGGCTACTTGCCCAAAATAGTAGTTTCCATGCTCTTTTCCATGATCCCTATATAACCCAGCGTTCCTAAACCCTAAATGTAGTTTCCATTTTGCATCTCCCTATAGCCCGTTATTCCTGTAGAAAAAGATCCGCATTTACCCAATATTCTATCTACTCCAGGGAGACTATAAACCCGAAACCCTAAACCCTAAATAGTAGCTTCCATTTTCTTTTCCATTATCCCAATATAATCCCCCATATTCTATCTACTTAAGGGCGACTAAAAACCCGAAACCCTAGAGGGGACAGTTAGAGGCTCCCTGGAAGAGTTCGGCAGTGCGCTCTCCTCCATCTCCATCAAGCCCACCGGCGATGTCGTTTCGTGCCTTGGGAGAAAGGTTTAGGGGGTTCAGGGTTTAGGGTATTCAGTTTTAGGGTTTCAGGGTTCAAAGTTTCGGGTTTTGGTTTTCAAGGTTTAGGGATTTATGATTAGGGTTCACGAAGTTTTTTCAGAAATTCATCCTTTGCTTCTCTTGATGATGTGACTGTGCTCCTCCGATCCATGTTATAGGCTGCCTGCAAGCACGGACATAAACAAGAAACTCAAACTACTCAACCGCTGCATTCAAAAACCTCTAAACCCAGAGCTGTAATTTCTAAGCTCATACAGGTTGGCCTGACAGCTTGATCACGTGCTGGTCCTCTCAGGAAATGTCAAACATTGAATTTGGCGGCAGTGGCACGATACGTTTGCGCATACGTGCAGTGACGTGTTTGACTTGATGCACGAAGCAGCAGAAGCATCCCCACCTGCCACCGCCACCATGTCTTTGAGAAAGAATAAGAATACCGTTGGTGTTGCTATAAGGTCCGTCGACGTTGAGCTTGGGAGTCGGCTGGCAGCTCCCTGCACAGGCTTTGCGCCTCGGCAAAAGCAAGGCTTTGCGAAAATCGTTTGTTGCATAGGATACGGGGATACGGGTTGTTCGTCTGAAAGAAGGAACAGAAATTCAGACAATGGAAAGTACGTCGTTGGAAAGTGCATATGGGCAACCGCAGGGACCCACTTCTCGATTTCTTACTAGCTGTAGGGACTGCTTGCATGGACCTTTATAGACAACTTTTATGAAAACAACAGCCAGTTCAAAACAAAGCAGGCGGAAAGACTCACAAGCTTATACAGCGCGTGCGGAGCCATGAGAGAAAACGAGATCCAAGCCAGGAAGGACGGCATTATACCATATTTTACCCGCATCCCTTCTGCGCCGGTATCCCTTCTAGACGGCTGACCCAATTCTAATTTCCAGCGCTGCGATAGAACAGGGAATGTTGGGATGTGGTAGTTTTCAGACGCCGATGTGGGACGCTGTACGAAGTTTGCCAGAACGGAAGGGATCCTATGAAAACCCGGTGCATGAGACACACCACTTTTGCAAGCCCACTGGCTAACACTCGAGTTGATTGTGCAAAAGAATAATGATCCTGCATCAGTCCTGAATCAGAGCTCTAAGTCTTGTCGCTCTTCTGTCCTAGAGCATCAGCTCCACCCAGAAAGTCCAAAGCTTCAAGTACAGCCTCAACCTACCGCACATGAAATCTGCAACCTGAGGCATTGCAGTGTGCAGACCTCAGAATTCTTGCTCGACTGAGAGACGGCTTCACAAGCACAGAACACGAAACTCTACTCCCGAACCTTGCACAAGTCCTCGAAAGCTGAGCATTTCCTGCTCGTACTACCATTGCTATTGCTGACCATCAGTATCACTATTACCATTATTACTACATCACCGCTGCGAGTCGAATTTTTGTAGCACCGCAATAATATCGCTTTTTTTCTATTATTACGATGACTACTAAGGATGTTCGGCTACCAGAGCGGTCTGAGTATTTTCCTGATCCCTGGGTATGTCCCTAGGGACTATTGGCATGACGCCGAAAGCTTAGGGCTAAAGATTCAGGAGGTAGCAGGACATTTTTGTTGAGGAGGACAGGAATGTGGGACTTTCTCGTGTTTTCTTCCTGGATAACTCACATGAGGGACTCCCACAACAGCCCTTTGACCTCCTTGTACCCCTTGTTGATCTAGAGGCCTGGTTCATCATGCTATCCCTGCTCTAGACTATCAGAGTACGCTGTGCGCTGTCGTCAAAATGCACAAGTAACGATTTCAGATATTGTATATCTAGCCCTGCCTTTTGCAGCACGCGCACGTACTATGTTCTCATAGGTATGTATATATGCCTGTAGATTGAATCTGGATGAGGAATCCTCAGATTGTAGGTTCCTCGGATTGCAGAAGGTTTCCTGAAGTTCGAGACTAGATTGTAGACCTCTTGAGCTACCCGCGGTTGTGGTTCTTTGCCAATGCCGCAACACCATTCCCTGCCTGAACACAGGGCTCTGCACTTGCGAGTGAATCCTCAACTCCATCGCCATGCAATCACACCTTTGGAAGGAACTTGCAAGTTTTGGGCAAGATGCAGATTGATGGGATAGAGAGGCTTCAAGTTCTGAAGCGTGACCTTGCTGTTCAAAAGCGCACAAAGGTCATAGCATCTACAGTACTCTTTGGCACATCTTCAGCTTGCGCCTGCCTCAGCAAAGACTTCTGGCTTGGGGGCTGGACCCCACAGGCAAACAGTCAATCACTCAATCAATCAATCAATCAATCAATCAGTAAGAACTTCATTAGGATCAGCATGCTGGGAAGACCAATTTGGAGAGAGAGATAGAAGTTGCATGAACTGAATGGTCCCACAGCTCTATGTTGTGCCCTCTTTTTTAGCATGTCCTTTCGGGTTGCCCTATGCCTCGAATTGGATTGGTGTCGTTCATCTGCTGGCTTTTGTGGTTGCTTGCTGATGATTCTTGAAAACAAGTTCTGAATTCATTTAGGACGCTCGCAGGCTATTGTTAGCGCGACAGAGAGTTAGCAGTTCACGCAGTATATAGCCTGCGATAAGAAACTTCGAATTGTGAGCGCCAATCGATAGGGCACGCAGCGTGCAGCAATTTGTGCAAACAACCGGACGTCAGAATAGTTAGTACCCAATCGTCGACGAAGAAAGCCGCACATGAGCGATGTTTTTCGTTCTGAATTCACGCAGTATCCATCTCCAGCGACTCTGGAAAGGCATCGTTGTCCACAGTCCTTTTTGGTGCCGGAGTGCCGATAGCCGCATTTCCTACCATGTTTAACAGATGAATGTCCCTTTCTGAAGTCTTACGTGTAGGGATTCCTTGGGGCAGAAGCTGGGTCCCAGCTTTCAAAGTATCACATGTGCGCAGATATGAAGAAAGCCTGAGCGTGGAGGGCCTGAGGGTGTTTCTCAGCAACATGAATTCCTGATTGGGCATTTCTCACCCGAATCCTTGTAGCTGTAGCCACGAGACTGCTGAAAGCCACAATGGCGTCAGCAAGTTGTAATTCCGTAGGATTTATTTTCTTTAAACCCCTGAACCAAGGACTCCCTAATTCCAGAATCCTAAAACCTTTATCCCAAACCCTAAACCCTTACCTAACAAACCTATTGCCACCATGGATAATCACAGAGACCAGCGAGGTGCGGCTCCTCAGCGACGACGCACAATGTTTCGATACCCTGCACCTGGCCAGTCTTTGACTTCAAGTCCAAGATGTCTTGGGAAAGGCCCTGGTCATGTGAGTTTATAGGGTTTTTGAGGGTTTATGGTACGTACAGCTTTGGGTGTAGGTTCCAGGATTGAACCTACTCAGGGCCGAGGATGCCTGTTTGTTATTGATTATGAACAGTATGGGCTGCCAATGAAGGATCCCAATGTCTTTGCCGCGCAGGGGGACAGCAGAAAAAACTTTTGAGCTTGATCAGGAGTTCTACAGGTTCTGCCACAAGTTTAGCATGCCTTGGAAGAACTTCAGAAAATCATGACAAAGTCCTTGTGCTGATCGTGTGAGCGATTCATGCCAACCGGGGGCTTTCGATTCCAAGCACATTGCAGGACCATCGAAACCTACGTGACAAAGCATTCAGAGCACGCATGTGATGATTGAGCGTGCAGCGTCCGCAGCGGATGTGCTTCAGAAGCCTCAACGTGCACTGATTTAACTTCTCATTACTTTGATTGGTGAAGCCTGTTGTTCGTGGGCTCCCAGTGCAAGCAGTAATAGCATTGGAAGCAGGAGGAGTAGAAGTAGGCAGAGTAGGAATGTAAAGGACGGAGCAGTGGGAGTAAAAGCAGGGAATAGGAGTAGGATGAGTAGAAGCTATCAGCAGCAGCCAAAGTCAGTCGGATACATTCTGAGTGCACCTGCTGTTTAGTGAGCAGCACGGCTGCGAACGGAGCATTTTCCCCCGCTTTTCCTAGAGAGGGACTGCATTGTTCTAGTCTCTTGTTAGTACTGAACACAGGTATCGGTGATAGGCTTGCAGGGGTGAAGCGGGATTTTCACAGGGATGCACTCCTGCATTCTGTACAAATGAGAGGCATGTCTTGCTCATTGCAATCCAAAGAAGATTGTCTTGCATCGGCCAGAAGAGTTGCGTTGATCGATTCCCTCAACCCTAAGCCCCAAACCCTAAATAGTAGTTTCCATTTTCTTTTCCGTTATCCCAATATAACCCCAATATAACCCCCAATATAACCATAACCCCAATGTAACCCCAAATTAGCCCCAATATAACCCCAATATAACCCCCAATATAACCATAACCCCAATGTAACCCCAAATATAACTCCAATATAACCCCAATATAACCCCCCAAACAAACATAACCCCAGTGTAAACCCAAATATAGCCCCAGTATAGCCCCAATATAACCCAATACACCCCCCAATAGAACCATAACCCCAATGTAACCCCAAGTATAACCCCAATATAACCCCCAATATAACCATAACCCCAATGTAATCCCCAATATAACCGCAATATCACCCTAGGTTTCGTCGACAGCTAAATTTGTCCTCCTCGTGTTTGCGTCGGAGTCCTCGCTGCGCTGGCAAACCAGCGGAAAGGTAATGGGGACTGCGAAAGTAAGCCAATAAGGGTGTCATATTAGGGTTATATAGGGTTGGGGTAATTAATATTGGGGTTATATTAGGATTATTTAGGGTTGGGGTTATAGTGGGATAATGGCAAAGAATATGGAAACTACTATTTAGGGTTTATTTTTGGCGTTATATTGTGGGTTATATAGAGATAGTGGAAAGAAAATGGAAACTACTATATATAGGGTTCATACTATAATGCAGAGCTTCAGTTGCACGGGCTTTCCTTTTTTTGAGACCGACAGCACGCACAAAACAGGAGCATCAAGAGTTTGCCGCAAATGTGAATTATCAGTCTTCCTCCCCTGTTTGTGAGTAATAGAATGGTTTTGCTTGCTCCCATTCCTTGCAGCCGGAAAGATTGCTCTTTAGAATGATGCAAATCACTTGAAGCTCCGATGACACCTTTCCGCTTGCTCTTGCGAACAGGGCGCTGTTTCCAGACGGTAAACAGGCGGGCAAGTACACAAAAGGCGGTTGACCGATTATGAACTTTCCAGCGAACGGCTGACAGCCTGGATGCCCAGTTGCATGTTCCGACTTTTGAGTTTTGCTATATATCCTCTGATACGATGGCGGTAGTCCAGGGTACCTCAAAATTAGTAATAGATGTTGCTTCTGCATTAGCCAGTGTGTTGGGCGGGGCAGGGGGTGAGCCTAGTCTACAACTGTCCTCCATGGCTCTTATAGGGTCCTTCTTATACGGGTATAGGTTACGGAACACCCTAAGTACCGAACACCCTAATCGTATCCAATCTAGCTTGCAGAGACCTGAGACCAAGCCCTGCTTTTGCAGAGGCACAGCATAAATGCTTGACTGTGCAGTGGTCGGCCATTGACCCCCTGAAAGCTTGTCCAGCTTATGTGAGATGCCAGCATTCTGCTTTCAGGGTGGTTAAGAGGAAAGGATGCCTGTTGAAGATTCATGCATGTCATGCTCCAGCAACGGGTTACATCCAAATACTTGCAGAAACACCATGCAGACTTCAAATCAAAATAAATGAGGCCAGCTTCTTGAACTTCAAGCGAGAGGATCTTCCGCTGGATCCTAAAGCTTATGATTCCAAAGATGATCCCTACCAATTCAAGCCGTACCAAGGAAGGCAGAAGCCCACCCTAGCAAGAAGCATTCCCTAATGCAATGCCCACACACAGGATAAACACGGCATTAACTGTTCGCCACGGGGCCTGATTACAAGGGGGATGTGATTGTCGCCGCAAACCTGCCCGTTCGTTGGCCATTGCCTGTCTCAGCTTTTGCATGTAACAGGCACAAGCCATGACCGCAGGTCGAGGGCTAGGGGCAGAGCTCATGATTCTTGGAATCCGTATGAGGCGTCTCTTATTGCTGTAGTTGCAATTTTCAAATGCATTTATTGATATTGTTCTTGTCCTTGGCCCCTGCTGATTAACCTTGCAGTAGCAACGGCTACAATTGGAATGCTTGCAGGGCCAGAGCAGAGGTGCAAAACCTACTTTAAGTCCATACCTCGCAACTGGGGTCCGAAGATTTCGGGCCTTGAGCTAGAATAAATATGCTTCAGGCCATGCCTGACTCTACCTACAGCTGCCTACAGCTAAGAAGGTCTGTCTGGTAGCCTCAGATTGGTGGCATCTTTGCGAAGTTCAAAGATCCCCATGGCGCTGGAGGACATGGACATTGCATGCACATCACACTGACAGTTTGGTGTATTGCCCAATGTGTTGCCAAATGCAAAATGCATCATGCGCAGGCATAAGAGAGTGCAGATAGGGCGAGGTCGAAGACTACACATGAGGCTCATATGTCAAAACGTGCTGCTCGCACGCACATGTCTCCACATATCCCATGCATGTTTCCCGGGGTTGAAGGGCAAAGCACAGAGGGCGGCCAGCGGTAGATTTTCTAAGAACCCCCCCTGATCAGAATCCGTCTGATGTGAATGTTGGCTCTAGACTCCTGGACCCTGTTGCGTTTTCCTCGAGTCAGGCCTGCACGACATCATGGCTTTTGATGGGAAGCTGAGAAGTGGCGGAGTATGGGATTTCAAGAATTAGTCATACGTCTTTTCCCTGGGCAGCTCAAATTTGGGGAGTGCATGACACGCTGCATCACCTGCAGAATGTCATGTTGTGAAAGCCAAGTGTTGAACCAGAAAGTGGAACCGGAATGTATTCCAACGACCTTCCCGCCGACCGGTACTTCAAGAAGGGGCCCATAATTTTGACAGCTCCTAAACCCCCCCGAGCATAACCCGAGACCCCAAGCCCTGTACAGCGGACCTCTGATCGCATATTCTAAATCTGCATAGAAGCATCACAAACGATCCGCTTACCCTAAACCCTTCATTATCCCAAAGAAGCGCTTTAGCAAACCTGGCTAGTGCGGTCTAAAACCTTCGCAGGATGGCCTTGAAAATGTGAGCTTCATGGAAGATGGCGCAGTCCCGCGGCCTGTCATTGAGGCCTGGAGCCTCTCACAGTTGCTGCTTCATTGAAGGTTTAGGCTTCTCGGCTGTTCTCCATCATGCCGACTGTCGACCATACAAAAAACATGCTCACCTCCCCCACCCCCGCTGCAAGCACCAACCCCGAAGGATCTCAGTTGCACTCCGACCAACACAACAGCTTTATCACTGGTAAGAACGTACTCTGAACAGTATGAGCAAATGATAGTTACAGTGCAACGTCCATGAGATATGTGCGCGCGCTTTTCCTTAGATCAATCGATCCCCTTACCAAAGAACCCATTCCCAAACAAGCAGTGAACCCAAATGTGCGTCTCTGCCTGACTGTCTTGGAAAACGTTGGCTGGTTCCATAGTGAGAGCTGCGGGAAAAGTTGTCCCAATCAACCTTTTGCATAAATTGGAGTGAGACCCAATCCTTTACCCTGCAGGGTTGTGGAGAAGGATCTGCCCCAGTTTCTTTGTCCCAAGATCATGGAATTTTGGAGGGGGTCACTGAGTAAATACAGTACGGTACAATCACGTCACACAACGGCTCATTCTTACTACATCAGCCCAAAAGGGTCCGTGGCAGCAGCTGCGGCGACGGCTCGGCTGGCGCACCGGTTCGGCTCTCAGATGGGAAGGTGTCTCGCACATCTCAAGCTCTACCTCCTAAAGCGTGCTTGCCTTAAGCAGCCCCGCTATGGTTTGGGTACAAGCTCTGGGGTTTCTAATGGTTTGAGAAACCCTCTCACAATTTCAGGGCATTTTTTGAGCTTCGTCTAGGCGAGGGCTTTGTCTTTATGTCTGTAGGAAGGTGGACCTGGATTTGTTGAGGGTATTGCATCATTTCTCGTGTGGCAAGCAATTCAATTTTCAAGAAAAGGTTGAGTTTGTGCCTTTGGGCGTGCGTGCGAATGCTAGGCATAGGCGAAGAATTGGCCTGTGGCGCTAAATAGTTCATATGGCCCATGTAATAGGAATATGAAGACCCCCAAGGTTAAGGGCGCATTTCTGGCGGCCATGTTCTTACTCCCTCAGCTTTGCAATGACATCAGAGAAGCTTTTGGCATCCTGCACCCAGGGCACCGTGAAGAGAGCTTCCCATCCACACAAGAACTTTTTGGGGAGGTCGATTTCTGTCACCTCAAGCTCGGCCGTGATTAGTGTGTGGACGCCTGCACTTTCGAACGTACCGGGTTCGGTGATTCGGAAATTCTGGTGCACTTCTACTTGCATGACAAGGCGCATCCCAGGAAAGGATTCATACATTCAGGCTCAGGATCTGCCTCCAACTTCATGACTCCTAAACCTTCTCAACATGCATCTATCGCCTCCGTGCCAGCCCTGTGAAGCCCTGCATCCACATGCCAAGGGCAGCCCTTGACCCCCAAGTTCAGAAACTGCTTGGCTAGGCGCGTCCCTTTGCGCGACGTTCTTGCTGTGTGTGGCGTTCATGCCCAGAGGCGTGCTGGCCGAGGAATCAGGATTTAGGATTCAGGGTTGCTGGATGTTCAGGGTTCAGAGTTTGAGGTTCAAGGTTTCGCCGTTTCCTGGGTACCTGTAGCCCTCGCAAG